TTTAAGAATTAAATGAAATAACTATATGGTAAAGTCTAAAAATGTGAGCATCCATTAATCATTTTCCATACTTATTATATGGTATAATTTGACAAATTCTTAGGTTCTCAGTGCCTGCTCTTTGTGGTGCTACACGTTGTTGTGAGTAACTATAGAGCAAAATTAAGGTTTGTAAAATGACAGGAAATATTTTATATACTAACAGTGTTATCCCATTCCAGCCAAGGAAACCATGGGTCTCTAGGGAAAGACAATCTGATATCACATTCATGGGACCACTGGACAGAGACATGCACTACGATGCTCTTACTGTATAGAAACATTACAAATCTAATGCTGTGTTTCTTTGGGGGCCTTTAATGCTTCAGGTCCTATACATACAAAGACTCTACACACCAACTAAATTTTCTCTAGTCTTTAGAGATACCTGAAACACAAAGCTAATTCTTCCAGGTCCTGCGTCAAAGTCAGCCCACAATCCTAGAGGTGATTGATACCTTTGCAACAGAGAAGCTACAGAACCCTTCACTTAGTGATGATGGTGGTTAGGAATCTTGTGGTCCAGCATGTCAGATTGTGAACTACCATAACCTAACTAGGAGGCATTTTTAAACAAAGTTTAAACTGAATTTGAATGAAAATAGACATAAAGAAAATTTTAATTACGGTTCATAGACCTTGAGATTTTCTACCTTGTGAACTGCTGTCACTTTTTATTTTTATTTAACATGTATACTTTTAGGAAATTCACCCATAGAATGATACACTTAAAATAACTATTAAGTACTTACTATAATGGTTTCAACATTAATCTATAGCGATATGTAGAAGGCAACACTCTGAATAAGTCTTTGAGTGTGACACTCCTGATAAGTGTAATATCAGGCACACCAAAAGATATTGGTTATTAAGGTCATTCAGGCTTGGGGGGCAGTCAAACTTTTCTATGGACTAGGCAAAATGATGGTCTATCCAGACTCACCTTTCAGCTAACACACTTAGCACGGAGACACAGATGGATGGGAAAGATGACCCTGACCCACATAAGACCCACATTCCTGTGCAAGGATAGAAGCATGAAAATCAGGAAATGATGGTTATTAGTTGCAGAAAATGCATTATTGTGGAAACCAGGGGGAAAGTACTCATGAGAGGAAGTGATTGGATTATGGGGAATGAGAGAATAAGGATAGATCATGCCTACTGAGTAAATTGCCGTGATTTATAAGAGATAGGGTATAGTGATATCTTGGCCCATTAGTGACTAGATTCATTTCACAAACAATCCTAAATCAGAATGTGACAGTTTACGGGGAGACAAACAATGTCTCCCAAAGATGCTTAAAACCTACTGAGCTTTCAAACTGGTATAGTTTAAGCTCTTCATAGCTTTGCCTCTCTTAGCTTCCTTTATTTAGTATTTAGCTAAATATTTTTTGTATTTTCTTTTTATGTGTCTATAGTAATAGATTACCTCACACTCTAGCCAAGGAAGAAAATAATGCCGCTGTACTTTATTAGGCATTTTTGGAATTTTAATAAATTCCACACAAGCGTTACCTAGAAGCCTTTGAGGTATTTGAGTGTTTATACAATGTGAAAGATGATAAAATAATTAAATGCATGTTTATAAAGGATGATCTTTTGATATTTTAAATATTTCTTTTAAATTTACTATGAATTAAATAATTATTTTTCATTTCTTCAGATAGACTACATATTGTTTTATACAAATACTAGACTCATATATTTGCTATGTATATTTATTTGTATTTCATGGTTTCAGTTTAGGAGTTCTAAGTTTTCATAGCTCTAGTTGATGAAATATGAAATTTTTCACAGAAGTGGTTGATGCAGGTTACTTTTGTGTAAAACAGGCAATTTCATCATTAAAATTTACTGAAATGCCAATGTAGTTTAGAGTGATTATTTCTTAAAAGAAACTACGAAAGAAGAACAAGTTCAGAGAATTCAAGAAATGACATTTTTGCATAGATCAGCAAGGGGCTGGATAGCTTACTTGAAAAAAAAATTTGATCAGTGTGTGGAACATAAAATATTTAGTGGCATGGGTGAGTAGACCTGTCATGAGTGGTTTCTGAATGTCATGTTTCTCTCTGCTCTGCTTGGGGTAGCTTGCACTCCCTGATGGGGGCTTTGATTGCTTGCACTGAAGGAACGCTTGCAGGATTGACATTTTACAGTGAGAGATTAAAAAGTCAAAGCAGGGCATTTTGCTTCTTTCTGAGCTGGTACACAGATGTACTCGCCAATCTTTCCTGGGAGAGAGATCTGGATCTGCCCTGAGCTGAGACTTAAAAGATGCATGCTGGAGACCAAGAAGATGTTGACATATTCTCTTGAAAATATTTCCAAAACCAAGCTACCATCAATACAGAAACAAAACTCAAATCACCACCCTTACTAAGTCAGGACAGTTCTCAATAATTGTTCATGATGTCAGGGCACTAGCAAGAAGAAGAACTTGCCTGGTGGGGCACTTGTCTTAAAGTGCAATCCTAGCAGCTCTGAGCTTGGTCATTTCATAAAGAAGAATCAGCTAGGATCAAGAGTTTTTTTTTTCTCCTTTGATCTATTTGATTCATGGGGTAAGCAGGGCATGAAGGCTCCTCCCTTCATAAGTGTGATTAAGGTTCCTGTAAAACTGACCTCATAGAGCATTCAGCTAGCTTGCCCTTCTGCTTTCTAGCATGTAAGGACAGAACACTTCAAGTATGAAGTAGGCATCAGAAGCCTTAATCTACAGTGGCCTCTTCTACTTCATGATAATAATCTATGATATTTAGATATTTTTTTGCTCAGGAGATTCTAAAAAGACGCTAGCACTACCCTTGAAGACACAGGATCTTCACGTCCTCACTTCCTCTTTCATGCTCACTCAATGTATAAGCAAGATTCATTTTGCATTTCAGTGCTATTATTAAAACATATCTATATATTACATGAACTAACTTTGCCACCCAGATTCCACACTATGCCCCATGCTGCTATCTGTGAGACCAGATAACTAATAAAGAGTATGTATTTATTTACTTATAATAATCGAGAGGATGGGAAATGAAAGATAACACCAGAATATTTGGTCATCTGGGAGGTTTGCAATCTCTGGGGAGGACACATGCTATATCCTCGCAAGATAGAAGGCTGAATGGCAAATTAACTGAATGCTCTGTGAAGCTTCTTGTATATAGTCCTTAAGCCTACTCCTTATATGAGGAGCTCCCATGACCTCATCATCTCTAAAGGCAATGCTCCTTTATACCATCCCTTTGACTATAATGTTTCAACACCCAAGTTTTAGAGGGACACACACAAAGTATAGCAACGTCATAAATACCTATTTGATATTGAAATGAATTTGGGTCTTTTCAGGGAATGTTACTCACTTGTACTACATGCCCCAGCCTTATTGAAGACATCTCAACATATAACAGATTTCCTGAATTTTTAAGTCATTTTTGCAGAGGCTATGAAATCCAACATCATGGCACCAGTCAATTTTATTGGCTGTTGATAGTGGCTTGAGTTAATTCATATCAATGCATTTATTTGTTCCTCAGCTACCTGAGTTTTTTCCTAAATGCTGAACAAACACCCCTCTTCTCAGTTGTGACATCCTATTATTTACAGAATGAACTTCACATTCTTTAATGTAGAGATCAAGCGCTCCATGACTAGGTTTCAAAGTTATTCTTCGGGGATTGTTCCTGATATTTAATGCCATTGTTCCTGCTATTTTATTCCTGTGATATCTACATTTCCTGAATTTAGAAACTCTGGATCTTTCTGGTACTGTGTGACTCTCTGTCAGCCTGGGAGACTTTAGGAGCTCATTTCCAGAGTAATTTATCTGTAACCTTTGCAGCGAGATCCTAAGCAGCAACATTTTGCTGTTTTGATGTGCAGGAATGGAGAAGAATATTAAATCATATTTAATGTGTTGGCTAGTTTCATGTCAGCTTGACACAGGCTGAAGTCATCTGGGAGGAGGGAATTTCAACTAAAAAATGCCCCATAAATTCTAGCTGTAGCTGGGTGGTGGTGGCACACGCCTTTAATCCCAGCACTCAGGAGGCAGAGACAGGCGGATCTCTGTGAGTTTGAGGCCAGCCTGGTCTAGAAAGTGAGTTCCAGGAAAGGTGCAAAACTACACAGAGAAACCCTGTCTCGAAAAACCAAAAACAAACAAACAAACAAACAAAAACTCAAAAAAACAAAAAAAAATTCTAGCTGTAGGACATTTTCTTAATTTGTGATTGATGGGGGGTGCATTGTGGGTGGTACCATCTCTGGGCTGGTGGTCCTGGGTTCTATAAGAAAGCAGGCTGAGCAAGCCATGAGGAGCAAGTGAAAAAGCTGCATCCCTTCATGACTCTACATCAGCACCCTTCTAATTCTAGTTGTCTCACAAACTGAAAACACACACGACTTTCGATAAATTTCCAAAATTGTAGTGGATCATGAATATGACTGATGTATCTACTAAAGATCAGAATTACTGCATAACTATCTTACTCTACCTCTAAACAAAAGCATAAAACCAACCCAGTTTGCAATCACATGATAATATTTTAAACAATGCCAGCATTTTATACTAGTTCCCATCTTCAACTATGATTTTTGCCTCTTTCAGTAATCAAATGTTTCTGAAAGAGTTGTGTTAAGACAGTTGTGCCAAGTTATTTACTTTTAAATAAAATATTTATTTATACAAATGATGTAGTTACGCTTTCTTTTAAACACATTATGTCAAATTTAAATACCATGCCTTATGATTTGAATTATTTTATGTGGAAGTCATTTATGTATAGTAACTAGTTTTTACAAATCTGGTCTTGTGATTAACCTTTACCATGTTTGTGACCTGTAAATGAATGTAGAATTAATTCATTGTGTCTATCCATTTTCTATGGTCTTTCCTTTTATACTGTAGAAGGACTACCTAATGGGGCAGAGTAATTGATTTCCTATTGTTGCAGCTCCCGATGGTCCTCCTGAAAATGTGCGTGTGGTTGCAACGTCCCCCTATGGTATCAATATCAGCTGGAGTGAACCTGCTGTCATAACAGGACCAACATTCTATTTGATTGATGTCAAATCGGTAAGGCATGTCTTACCTACTCTGAAAGGCAGCATAAAACACAGTTCATGATGCAGATTATTTAGTCAGAGGTTTTGATTTTGTACCATGGTCCTTAAACCTTTTATAGATTGATTAGCTTAGGTGTTGATCCTATAGTTACCAAATGCTCAACAACAATAGCTTTATTTCAATGCATGTTTCTTTTATTCTGAGGGCAAAGACTATGCATATGTCATAAAGTTGTGAAATTTGATTTAAAATAAAGTGAAAGGGGACTTTTGGAATAGTGTGAGAAGGAAGAGGTGTTCAAGAAGCCATCTCCCAGATAAGGTTTGAAGAGATAAATCTTGAAAAAAATTGGAGTGCATGAAAGGGGAATGAGAAGAGAACTATCAAAGTAAAAGAATAATTTTTTTCAAAACAAATAATACAATCATTCCATGTCATGGCATTCAAAAGTTGGTGTACTGAGACATGAAGCTAGACCCACATTATGGACTATAGCTGAAGCTTTCTCTGATCCTACCCAGCCCCACAAACCCCGCAGCTGCTTATAAAATAATCACTCAGAAGATTATATTAATTAAAACTGCTCAGCCATTAGCTCAGGCTTATTATTGACTAGCTCTTACACTTAAATTAACCCATAATTCTTATTTATGTTTAGCCACATGGCTTAGTACCTTTTCTCAATTCTGCCTTCACATCTTGTTTTCTCTGTGTCTGGTTCGCAACTCCTGACTCAGCCTTCCTCTTCCCAGAATTCTCCTTGTCTGTTTATCCCCACGCCCCTATACTTCCTGCCTGGCTACTGGCCAATCAGCATTTTATTTATCAACCAATGGGAGCAACACATTCACAACATGCAGAGCACCATCACCCACCAATGGACACTGACTTTTATGTTCATGGGGCCACTTGAATAAGTAAAACAGCGGTGTGTTAAGGATTTTATCACACTGGCAGACTGGTTGCTCATTTAGATATTCTGTGTTCTGTCTTTGGGATGCAGTCTAGGTCAGTGGCAGGAAATTGTAAGAATAAATGGGCAAAGGAAAAAAAAAAAGATAACGATAAAAGCAGAGGAAGTATAGGAAAGGATCCAGATGAGAAATAACAAGTCTGTGAGATTGTTGAAAACTCAACTAATTCTTGGTGGTGAGTGAGGATAGGAAGCGAGGATGATTGTGAGGTGTATTACTTGGAAACAAAAGGAATAAATCTGAGAAGGGAAGCAATGAACACAACATAGACATGAGATTGAGAAGCCTGGGAATGAATCTTCTGCATGCAGCTGCAATAGCAGAACTACACACACGTGTAGAGCTCAGGGGAGAGAAATAATTGTTACTTATTATAAAATAGCTTGTATTCTAGGGGCAGAGGAGACTAACTGTGGAACAGGTAAATAGCTTAATTCTTTAAAGGAGGTGCTTCTGCCTCAAAAGCTCTGCTATCATTAAAATCAAATGAGATTTTAACGTCTTCTCTCACACATTCTTCGGCTTTGCTTCTTTTGTAGCCTATATTTGTGACGATCTTGGTACACGAACAGATAAAAACAAATAACGTGAGGGCCCTGGGAATGCGTATTTAGTGCAAATGATAAAAAAGATAATTATGAATGATTCTTCATTCAAGGAAGAAATTATCCTTTGGAATTTGGTTAGGCTTACAGAAAAGGTAAACAAAAGATTTTAGGATGATTTTGTCATCTCATTGTTACAGCCTTCTTCCTGACCTTAAAAGTGAGCAGGTGGGATAAAGGAAAGCAGGGTAGGGAGATGTACAGGCACAGGTGCCAACTCAGTTAATCCCACTAGAAATTCAGTATCTATTTTATGATTTTTTTTATTATCTTTCTTCTCTGGCTTAAGTCATATTTGAATAACTTCTATACACTAGGGCAGGAATGGGCAATGAAAGCTCGGCTTTCATGTAGCTCACGCTGTAGTAGTCCACATGGCAACATGAACAATTATAGGGTAAGGTATGATATTATGGGGGAGATAATGAAGTAATTAGAAATTCCTGTTGTTAGGACAGAACATAAAGGAGGCTTCGCAGAGTAAATCAAACTCATGGAGAGACTTGAGGATTGAACAGCATTATAGCAAACAGGAAAGGCTCTTTCCCTGGGTCAAGAAGTGAAACATAAGTAGGAAGCAGAGTTGGGAGAGAAAAGCTGGAGTCCAGTTACTAACCACGTTATGTCATGTTATAGTTATTGACTGGAGTAGTTTCATAACAAGAGTAGGTAATAAAATGATGAGTAAGCAACCTAGCAATTGGGGACTCACAGGACTTGAGGCTTCATTCATGGGTAAGTGGATGCAGTCACTAACAACCATTGTGGAGTAGGTCTATGGATGAAGAGGTAGTACACTTTTGTAGATGCTGTCTGAGGATCCACAATTATTCTTTCAGGATTTTAAAAAATATCCTAAATATACAGTAGAGGACGTGTGTCATGATAGAGTTTTATTAGTTGATATTGTTGTCTACTGTACAAATGAAAAACATTGGATAGTTTAATATATAAATAGAGTATTTTTACATGATCAGAGCTCACTCATCATATTGCAAGATAGATTGTTTTAGATTCATGGAAGACCTAGACTGAAATTCTATCTCAGATGTCCTGTAGCTACGGAGATTGAGGGAGTCACCCAAACTTGGTAAATTTACCTCCTGTTAATAAATTCACTCTGTAAGTACTAGGAGTATGGGTTCCTTATACTCCTTTACAGTGACTGACTGTTTGTTATCTCTAGATAGTTATTTTTCAGCATGAATAAGAGCCTAATCATGAGGAAAAAATTCAAAATCCATATTTTATGTGAATTCAAGTGTTGATGACTAATTAAATACTCATATATTTTGTACCATTACTATTGTGCTTGATGAATAGAATGTGTATATTGAAAGGTTTTCTACCATTTTAGAGAAGAGGGCTTTTTCCCTCCACTGCTTCATACAATAAATGAACTTTTTGACTGTGATGCTGGTTATTGATTAGCCTTTTAGTCTGTTTCTTATATCAGCATCAGCATCTTCTTTAAGTTAAAAGCTCTTACAAACCAAAATTTAAAGGAACAACTGAGTAACTCCAAAATTTGTTTCTCTGTGTTTCAAAGGATGGGCAAGTTAAACCTTATCTCCACAGTGCTAACTATATATAAAACATGCAGTAATCAGCGCAGCTACCTCTGAATAATATGCCCTGAATGGTTATGAATTTTCTCAAATTTACATCAGGAAAATCCCTTCTAAATTTGTTATATATGTACATGGTGTGTGTGTGTGTGTGTGTGTGTGTGTGTGTGTGTGTGTGTGTGTGTCTTTTCGTCTCTGTCTCTCTCTCTCTCTGTATGTATGGACATGTGTACATACTTGTAGAGGTCATAGGTCAACATGGGTCTCTTTTCAGCCACTTTCCATCTTATGGTTTGAGAAATCTTTCACTGAACTTGTATCTTGCAGTCTGACTGGATTGGCTGGCAAATGGACTGTAGAGATCTGCCTGATTTTGTTCTTCTATCCCAGTGCTGAGTAACAGATGTGGCCCGCCCCACATGCCTTTTATACAGATGCTAGGGATCCAAACTAAGGTTTTCATGGTTGTATAGCAAGCACCTACGTACTAAGCCATTTGCCCAAGGCCCTTCTATTTAATACTAAAAGCTTTAGCCATGTTTAATGTCTAGAGTGGTGAGCAAAACCTTCCATCAAAGACAAACTATATTTGAACAAACCATAGCCACATTTAATACACCTAAAGACACCTCATTTGTGAATGTGTTTTAATTATGACGTTTATAGTTAGTTGTGCCCATAACCACTGTTATATCTAACAGTGGTAGGCGAGAAGTTCTTTGATCTGTAATTATGACCACAATTTTAAATGCATGTGCATACAATAACAATGAGTAAAAAAAGAGGCTGAAAGCAAAGGAATCTGGAGAGTGAGGAGGGGCATGTGGAAGGATTTGGAGGGAAGGTAGAGAAGAGAGAACTGTTGCAATTATATCATAATCTCAAAGATAAAAACAAATAAAATTAGAAAAAGAAAAAATTAAAAGGGCAGAACATATCAATGTGCATTTCAAAAGGAAGTTGTCTTCTCACAATTATAATTCAGTTAGAAAGTACAAAAATGTAATATAAGTATCTATACCTTCTGAGTTATGTTATAAATGCATAATTTACAGAGTCATTAAACAAAAATCAAAATCTCCATGCCAACTACTTTAGATCTATTATTTCTAAATTCTCAAGAAGATAGAATAATTCAGTATTATCACCCCAGTAGAAAGTAAGACTGCAGGATTGGCTTGCCACATGGAACTAATTGACCAATTTGGAATTTGAATGCTGGGCGATTGGACACCAAAACCTATGTGTTTTCTTCTATAAGCTATTGAAGTAGAAAATAGTTTCAGTGACTCTTGAAAGTGACTTTTGCTTATTCAATTGATAGGTTGGTTAATCGTGGTGGGTTGATTACATTCTCTCACTTTCAACTGTTAAAATAATTATAAATGAATAAACTTATCAAAGTACTTTGAATTTTTGAGAGTGATCTGTTTTTAAAGCAAATGAATAAATATTTGGCCAGATCAGTATACCTGTAGCTTTGGATTGTTATCTATCTTAATTGCTAACTACTTTTTCCATAGGTAGATAATGATGACTTTAATATTTCCTTCGTGAAGTCAAATGAAGAAAACAAAACAATAGAAATTAATGACTTAAAAGTATTCACAAGGTATTCTGTGGTGATTACGGCATTTATTGGAAATGTTAGTGGGGCATATGCAGAAGGGAAGTCAAGTGCTGAAGTGATAATTACTACTTTAGAATCAGGTAAGGAATATTTCTCACCATTCCTAACCATTAACTGAGGCTTGGCTGTTGGTCTTTCTTACAGTTCCTCACACTCTCCTGGAGAAAATGTATGTGCTATGAGATTGATAAAATATAATAAAATCAAATTAATGATGGTGCAGTTGACAAATATAAAGTTTGTTTACACTTTTGAGGCAAGGTAGGATGTGTAGAACATTCAATCCTTGTAAATATGGAACCAAATTAAATGTGCCCCATGGTACTTTTTTGTATTTATCAAATCTGCTGTTTTAGAAACTGAATTACTTTGCCTAAATGTTTTCAGCTAACAATGTTTCATCTAGAATTTCACCTTGATTACGGCTGTCCTGACTTTTTTATGAAAATTGACTAATCATATTAAGTAATCTGGTATTAAAATCAGGTCACATATACTTGTTTTCTTAGTCAAGTGACATGCTATATTAGGTGATTGTTTCATAAATGTCAGACTCCATACAGATTTCCTCTAGCTCTGTGAACAGGGTCGGAATGGCTAACAAGATCATAAAAGGGAGTAGGAAGTGAATGTGGAGAGTGAATCTCCCAAGGCCTGCTTGCCCACCTTCTTCAGACTTCTGAGGTTCTTTTCCACCAGACATGTCATGGGAAAGATCAAGTGAAGGGTTGTGTTGCTGTTGTCTATTTGCTGCTGTCTCTAAGGTACATAGAGGAGGCAAAAATAGTTTTTAGCTTGTTTCTTTATTATGCTACGTTTTCCTATACTTACTGCAAAGTGAGGACTCTAATTTGCAAGGTACTTTTTCTTCTCCTGTACTAAGGCTCCATTTGTTTCTCTTTTGCTGCCAAGTATCCCAGGGATCTATATCTTGATTGTGCTTCTCACATTTCTTCCTCCTGTTTCTCTGTAAACAAAGGGTTGGCGAATACACTCACACGTATACCACACTCACACGTATACCAAAAAACACAACTTGTCAAGCTTGTTCTAACAACAGTTCTCAACCTTGGGTCGTGACCTTATGGGTTGCATATCAGATATTTACATTATGATTCACAACAGTAGCAAAATTACAGCTATGAAGTGGTAATGAAATAATTTTATGTTTTGGGGGTCACTGCAACATGAGGAACTGTATTAAAGGGTTGCAGTATTAGGAAGGTTGAGAACCACTGCCCTAGGAGGTAATTAATAGTACTACTACCAGAAAAAAAAGAGCAAACTAAGCCTCTGAGAATAGAATTTATTCTGTAAAGGCTTGCATAATTTGGGGATAGGAAATTGTTGCCAGCACTGAGAGAATTCCTTGCCTTATCCAGTTTTAAGCCTGATCCTCAATTTGTGGAAATACTTTCTATATATAAAAAAAGGATACATTTCTTAAGTAATGTAAATGTGTAAAAACAAGTGGGAAACTGTTTAAACCAAACTAAGCTTTATTTTGTCTATAAAACTTTCTACTTAACATGGGATATTTCGCAAATGATGAATTTTTCTGCTTGTCTTTTTTGCTCACGATTGTTTATCCACATTTGAGGGTACTGCAAGATTCTATCTGCAAAGAAGTTTGAAGTTAATGAAACTTGAGCACCTGGACTGTGAGACTGCATCTTATGTCTTCTCACAGACAATTTTGACGGAAAAGAAATGTTTCCATATCATGTATCATTCAGATCACAATAGATGCACAAATTCATTTTAATGATGTGATGTAAAGAACAGTACTTTATAATCTTAAAATAATGTTTTCTCATGTGTCACTTTATTTTATAATTTGTTGTAACTAGTGGCATACTAAGCTGTCTTTTTGTGGGTGCTTTGCTGTGTTTTAATAAGGGAGTGTTTCATTGGCACAGAGTATCAATTATACAGAGTACTGAGTGTCATTGTGACAATATCTCACCTGCATACACTTTGATCATATGTAGCTTCTTTACCCTCCCTTTCATGACTACCCTCCTTTCTATAATAGTTTTTTAAAAGAAAAAAAGTTTTTTCTTTAATTTTTAATTACTTCTTTAAGGATTTCACACAATGATTTTTGATCGTATTTGCCTCCATATCCCAGCTCTTCCTAGGTACACCCTTTCCTTTTTAGTCCATTTTCTGCCTCCATCTAATCAAGCCAATTTGTGTTGCATAAATATTCTTGGATGTCTGGCCTTCTACTGGAATGCACTCAACTTATCATGGCCCACAATTTTAGAGAAAACTGACCCTTTCTCTCCTAGCAGCTAGCTATTGCCAATAGCTCCTTGGCTAGGGATGGGACTTTGTGCCCGACTCCCCTCTTCATGGTGAAATTTGGTCTGACGAGGGTTTTCACAAGCTTTGTATATGCTATCACAAATAGCATGCGTTTATATGTGCAACTGCCCTGCTGTGTTTTTATTTTAGTATAATTAACTGGAATTTTACAAGTTTCAGCAATTAAAAAATATCCAATTAGAAAACTGTCAAAAGACATAAAGAAATATTTCATCCATCAGGAGGTATGGTTAGGAAATAACACACAATAAGATGAAACTTCCAGACCATTAGTCCTAATATAAATGCAAATTAAACACACAACATTATATAACCGTGCAGCTACTGAAACAGAATTACATAATAATTTTTAAAACAGTGATAATACCAAATGATGGCAAAGATGCAAACTGAACTCTAACACTTGCCAGTGGGAATATAAAGTGGTATAGACACATGGAAAAATATTTGACATTCTCTTGTAAAACTAAACATGTACTTCCCATATGGCCAAGCAATTAATAGTCAACAATGATCATAAAGAATCTAAAACTTATGTTTATAAATGCATGGATAGAAATGTCATCCTTACTGAGAATGGCAAAAGATGTAAACAGCACAGATGTCTTTCCATGCTAACCAAATCCTGTTAAACTACAAAATGAAATGCTTCTTGGTGACAGTCAGGGCTGCTGTCCCTTTCTCCTGTGGTTAGAGACTTTATATCTGGGAAGATATTTGTCACCAAGACTAAATGACCAGCACTCCATCCCAGGGACCCTCAGGTTGGAAGGAGAGGACTAAATTTTGCAAGCTGTTCTCTACCTTTCACATGCTCAATGTGGCACTCACATGATCCCCCATCAAGAAAAAAAACTAAAGAAATAATTTTTTGACAAAGGATGAAGTATTGATACATCTAAAGCCTAGTGAACCTCAAACACATCACACTATTGATATGTTGAAAATGACAAGACAACAGAGCAGAGGAAAAATTGCTATTACAGGGAGGCATGTAGGAAAACACGAAAGTATGGAAGGTGAGAGTTCTGTAAGTGATGGGATCGTTCTATCTTTTCCATGTTGGTGATTGCAGCAATCTGTATTTGGCTTACAGTTCCACAAAAGTAAATCTCCCACCAAACCACGAAAACATCGATGACATCAGAACAAGGCCTGCCTTCTAGTTAGCAGTATCGTGTAAATGCCTGTTTTCTGGTTTGGCACTGAATAAAGCCATATGCAGAGTCACCACTGGGAACTCCAGGAAGGTTATGTGGGGCTCTGATCCTCTTGTGACAGCTTCCTGTGACTCTGTGTTATTTCTGAATAAAGTGATTGAAAAGTCGAGGAGGCATGTTCTGTGTAAGTCTGTGGATGCTGGGCTGCTTATGCAATAGGAGGTGCTGGATTTAATCCCCAGTACTAATCACAGAGCACATGCACAAGGCAAACAGACAAACTAAAGTACCACTAGAATTTCTGGAAAATAAAGTCAGTGCTTTGTCAGTTTTCTAGTTTCCATAATACATGATTTTTACAGCATGTGTAATCAGTCTTTCAAAACACAAGTGTGCAGAAAATACATTTTATATTGAGATTTAAAAATTATAATTGTCAACTTTTTCTTTTAGTGCCCAAGGACCCACCTAACAATATGACATTTCAGAAGATACCAGATGAAGTAACTAAGTTTCAGTTAACATTCCTTCCACCTTCTCAACCCAATGGAAATATCCAAGGATATCAGGCATTGGTTTACCGAGAAGATGATCCGACTGCTGTCCAAATTCATAACCTCAGCATTGTCCAGAAGACAGACACATCTGTCGTTGCAGTGTTGGAAGGATTGAAGGGCGGACATACATACAACATCAGCGTAAGCAGCCACCATTTTTAACTGCCTAAACCAGCTTATAAAGTCAACACTCACAATATGCCTGCATACCACCTTTCAGCCTCTTTCCTGCTAAAAACAATATAGAAAGTACTATTAACTGAGAACCTTGTACAAGAACAGCGGGCACCTTGAAGTAAAGAAAGAAAATGAAGGTTAAACATAATGGAGTAGTGACATGCAGAGTGACCGTTGCCTAAAAGAAAACTGTAAATGAAACATTCAAAAACAAATTTTGAAGAAAATAGCAGGAGTAGGCCATTTCATCGTTTCGTTCCTCTAAGTCATTTTTTTTCTGTTAGCATGCTACAATAATTTTACAAAGGATGTAAGACAGGTACAAGAATGTGTGCAAGCTCACATGCATGAACATATGCCCAAATTATTTCTTCCTATACTTACTTTGTGTCACACCTTAGGAAATATAAGCAAGATTGTTTTGGTTCAGAAATATCACCTCTCAGCAACCTATCATCCAACATAACAATGCCTAAAATAGCTTCCCTTTCTCAGAGCAATTGTTTGTAATTATCAATTTAGTTATGAGAACATTGTTAATAACAGGTAAATATGTTCCTTGCTTCAACTTTGTGTCTTCCTGAGGTTCTTGTTGCAATTGCAACTAAGTTTTACCAAATATCTACTAGAAGATGAGTGGTAATTTGAACCTCAGTTCAATCCTGATTTCTAACCCATCTGGAAAACTTCTTCAAATGTGTGACTCAACTTTTGCAAGTGAAAATTTGGCGTAGGAATGGTAACTTCTTGCGGGACATTCTGTGAGGAACAAATATAGTATAGAAAGAAATATAGAAATATAGATAGCATAGAAAGAAATACTGTATCAATTTGACTGTTGAAAATAAGAGAAAATGAGAAATAAAACAAAGAACAGCTGGTCTATAAAGAAAAATATAACTGCTTACAAATTGCAATATAAACATCTCAGGATATTGAAGTTTATCACGAATATTTGTATTTAAAAAGATTCCCAAGTATCTCTATGCATCTTGCTATTTAAGAAGTACTTTCAATTTTTTTCACCAATTTTTCTTACTCATCACCACAGTTTAAATCATATAATAAAGAAAAGACCATCACTTATTTTGAATAGTTCCTTTTTAAAAGTTACAAATGACACCAAATTTTTCTTTTAGTTATTTTAACCAAAGTGTTTAGGACTGGCATTTTTAATATAGCTACCATATACCATGTATTGTTTTAAGTTTAATTCAACAAAAACATTTCCAAAATATTGACATAATGCAAAGATGACCCATTAATATATAAAATGAGTTAATTCCAAAGAATATGTTACACGTGCCAAATTGTATTTACTAATTACAGGGAATTTGGACTACTCTTGTGGTCTTTTGTTTTATTCAGCTAGATGAGGTGAAGTCAAGGACTCTGGGTCTTCAGTTTCCTGAGCACAAAGCTAATTGAAAGGATTCCCATTTGTGTAAATCACCCACTGTGCACACAAACAAAAATGTTTTATGTGTATATGCTGCATTATGCAGGTTATGCATCAGATACTTTGGGGCAGGGGTGAAGAAGGGCATAAAGGGCAACTTTCAGGAGGATGATTTAATACAGGAAAATAGGGAGGCAGGAGGAATTGGGTTTCATTTCAGACACAAGAAGAAGATCTTGAATATGGATTTAAAGGAGGGCAAAATGTGCTGGCTACAGAGAGAAGTAACAGATGTTAAAGTAGAGGGAGAGGTGGTATAGGCTTGATGGTTTCTACTATTTTCCTCCCGTGGGTTCAAACGGCCGGCAGCACAGCCTTCCTAGGCTTGGTGGTAGGGACCTTGGTGTCAGTTAGCATTTAGTCTCATGACTTAGTTCCAGAATATTAATTGTAAGAAATTCTTGATTGTTAGTGTTCTTCTGATATTTATGGGATTAAGCAGGCTTGAGAAAATATAATTAATAGGCAGATAAAATTGTTTTTAAAAGAGAGATCATTTTTAAAAAAATTTTATTCACTTTGCATACCAAACACAGATTCCCCCCCCCCTTCATTCATCCTCTGGCTCCTCCCCACTTCCCCCCCGAACCCACCCCTCATCTCCTCCTCCAACAGGGTAAGTTCTTCCATGTGGGGGGGGGGGACAGCTAAGCCTAGTACATTCAATTGAGGCAGGACCAAGGTCCTCCATGCTGCATCAAGGGTGAGCAAGGTATCTGCGAGATCATTTTAAAAATTGTTTATAACCATGCTCACTTGCACATGCATAGACAGGAAGCTTGGAGTAGTGATAAAGCCTTTTTTTGGTTCCAGGTTTACGCTATCAACAGCGCTGGCGCCGGGCCTAAAGTGCAGATGCGAATAACCATGGATATTAAAGGTATAAACGAACTACCTTCCATTAAATTGTTGTTTTCTTAACCAGAGGGTGATTGTAATCTGAATCATGTGCAGGAGGCTGACCTTTACATGATGAATATGCATGGGATATGCATAAATTAAGTAATAACATGCACATAATTAGAAGTTTAAACATCTAAATGATGACATGAATTACTGTCGAAGAGAATGTCTGTCCTAAAGGGTGTCACCTAAACTTTATTTTTATTGGGAAGAGCTTTTTAAAATTGCATCTGCCTAGACTGAGTCTCTGTTTGTGTTAGGAGTTGGATTCTGCTCAGGTGACCAAATACTGACTACCAAACTCCATGTAACCAACCTTGTAAATTTAATTCTAAAGTAGATCTACCACTTCACTATTCTGGCAGGTATTTTAGAAAATTCTCCTCCAGCAAGTAACCACAAAACCCCAAAGAGTAGTTTAAGTCCATTTGACCATCTACTGCCTGACCAGATATTGATATCAAGCAATTTTTTTTGTACTACCTCTATCACATAAGGAAGTACTAAAAATGAAAGAAAACAAAAGGTCCCAAGACTTTTAAGAAAACCCTCATCCAGCCTTGATATGAGGGTCTGTGCTTAGTTTTATTATAACGTGTTATGCTGTGTTCAGTTGATACCCCTGGGAGGCCTGGTCTTTCCTAAGGAGAAATGATGGAGAAGTGGATCTGGGGGAAGAGGGGACTGAGTGGGGTGGGGATTGGGAGGAGTGGATGGAGGGGCGAAAAAAGAAAGCAACAACGAAACCCCTTAAGTATTAGTTCCAGACTACCCGGAGTAGAATTTCTCCAAGTATGTCTTTCTAAAGGAGAGTATAGTGTCTCTTTCTTTGGAAGGGTCAGTGGAGGACAGTGGCTAGAGTGCCAGCCTTTCAGGCTGTTTAGATAACTCTTGAGACTGAATCCTGGGTTGGTCTTTTGATATCTGTTTGACTTTAGGAAACCTTCTCAGCATATATAAGTCTCGAAAGTACACATGCTATTAGTTCCTACCTTGCAGGTTGTTAATTATGAGGATTAAGAGTGAGCATCTTTGAGAAAACCTTTTAAACAAGACCTGAAAATTGTTATTATCAAGAGTATGAAAGAGTCATTGACAGATGCAATTTTACATTTTATCTTTTTACTAACAACTAATTAGTAGAGGTGTGTTATTTATAAGCATTATTTATTTTATTTGCTAAATTCTGGAGCAATGGCTTAGTGGTTAAAAGCACTTGCTGCTCTTTCAAAGGCCCTAGGTTCAGTTCTCAGCATCTGCTTTGGGTGGCAGACAATGACCTATTCACTCTAGTTCTGGGTTCCAATGCCCTCTTTGACTCTGAAGGTTCCTGCATGAATACTGTACACATACAGACAAGCAGGCACTTATACACATTAATGTTTTTAATTAGTAATTCTATATCTTGGAATATACAAACAAATAAGTTGTTTCAGCTGTAATTTTTCTCACAAAACAGCTTCAGAAAACACAAAGGAGAGGTCGAGCCACACCATCTGGATTTTTTCATCACTTTTTATAGACACCCATATGTACAAGCACAGTTTACACAGTATTTTTATGCTTGACTGAAAATGCGAAAATGCTTCTGACCTCCACTCTTCATCTGTTGCCTACAGAGAGATGCAAGGGCATGGTGTAGTTAGAGTTTTCCTGCCTGGCCCACGGTCAGGGCAAATCTCACTCACCCGCCAGTCTCACAGCCGCTCAGACCCGACCAAGTAAACACAGAGACTTATATTGCTTACAAACTGTATGGCCATGGCAGGCTTCTTACTAACTGTTCTTACAGCTTAAATTAATCCATTTCTATAAATCTATACCTTGCCATGTGGCTAGTGGCTTACCGGCATCTTCACATGCTGTTTCTCATCGTGGCAGCTGGCAGTGTCTCTCTGACTCAGCCTTCCACTTCCCAGCTCTATTATCCTCCTTGTCCCGCCTATACTTCCTGCCTGGCCACTGGCCAATCAGTGATTTATTTATTGACCAATCAGCAACACACTTGACATACAGACCATCCCACAGCAGCATGGGGTTGTAGTGAAGACTCATAGAGATAACTTGTCTTTAGTGCTATGCATGATTTTGTTAGCTACATGGTGTATTGAATTAGAAGCAGTCTCAATAAATTTTTATCTGACGGTTAATATACTGCTGGATCATGGCACCCAAGTAATGGGTTCCTGTTATTGAGATTTGCTCTTGAGGACTCATGGTGACATCGTTGAGGGTTCAGAACAGAAAAAGGCCCAGGCCTCTTCCTGGTAAACCTTTCCTTCCTTCTCTCCACTCTGTGACTGCTACGCCAGGCAGTTGTATCTGAAGACTCTCACCACCTACTCCTGTGCTTTGCCTCTTCATTTGACACAGATTTTACTCTCAATGGACCTCATCCATATCCAGTCTCATTCCAACCTTTTCTTGTCAGAATGCCAATGTGATGTATCAGCTAAGAGCTTTGCTCTTGGATCCAATGCACAAGAAAGAGTGAGTCAAAGACTCAAGTCAGAAGCATTCTTCTTTTACATCTGCTGGCCGAATTCTTGTCTATTAAAAGGAAACAATATTGCAAATATTGTGAAACTGTTGAGAATTTCTTTATTTTTGTTTTAAACACTGAAGTTTGGATATGTAACTTTCAAATAGCAAATATGTATATGTGTGTGTATACACACATGTAAACACATACACAACTATCAGAAGAAATGAAACCAGCAGAAACCCTAAAAATCCTGCTTTGGGGATTTTTGTATGTATTGACGGCAAAATATTAAGTACTATGGTATCTTTGAAATTATTCTAAAAATATCCACTAATGTTAAAGATGTATATCTGGTGGGCTGGAGAGATGGATTGGTGGATAAAATATTTGCCACACAAGTGTGATGACCAGTGTTCAAACTCCCAGATCCCATGTAAATCCTAAGCAGGTATAGTGGCTGCCTGTAATCCAGCACTATGGTGGCAGAGGTAGAGGATCTCTGGGGCAAGTTGACTAGCTAGACTACCTGGATTCTTTATGTTTTTAATGAAATAAAGTGAAAAATGAACAAAGAAGATGTGTAATATCAAATTCAGGCTGCCTCATGAATGTACACACTCACACATACACACCTACACAGTTGTACACCTATACACACACATTAGACATATACCACCTCCATATATACATAAGATGCACATTTCTTAAATTCTATATTTGGAATCTCTTCTACAGAAATAAAAGGACAAACAAAGTCAACTGTTTGAGGTTAATTATTACAGGAAATGCTGAGAACTATGAGAAAAGTACATTCTCGCCCTTGGACCGTGGTTGAAGAAATATTATGCAGCTAGCTGTACCACATACTATAGTCATGAAGAAGCATGAGTTAGCATTGTATCTCTGTTTGGGAAAGACTCACACAAGAAACCAATATGCAGTGCAACTCTAATGTACAGTGGATCTGTATTAGAAAACTCAATAGTAAGAAATCTGTTATATATGAATCTGAAATTTTCCCTGATAATGTGAACATGACCAAAAATAAGGGAGACTGTTATCCAGGTTTTGACATGGATGAACAGTAAAAAAGATGCTACCATGATTAGGATAGAAATTAATCAACCAGATAACCAAAGTGAAGAAAAAGAACACACAAAAAATGTTACATGTAAACAATTTTTGAAAATTATTTGTGACAGCACTTGTAAATTGAGTGTTTTTATTGCACGACGAAGAGTTGAATGTCTGAAAAGTTGCACCTGGGCTTTAGTTTCTCAGGAAAGTCTCAAATACATAATTATACCTTTATGAGATAATAATTATTGTACATCCACTGTACCCCAAAACAACTATTTAGTTTGATATTTGCATGAGCTGTCACTTTATCTGTTAGCTACCTACATGAATTGAGAATGTGAAGTTTGTTGTTTTTTCTGCTCAGAAAACTGTTAGTCATATTTTACTGTTTTTAGCTCCAGCACGACCAAAAACCAAGCCAATTCCTATCCATGATGCCACAGGAAAACTGCTTGTGACGTCAACAACAATTACAATCAGAATGCCAATATGCTACTACAATGACGATCATGGACCGATCAAAAATGTCCAGGTGCTTGTGGCAGAAACAGGAGGTACCTCAGATTTCAGTCTACCTTAGGAGACTGTGAAATGTGATTTTCTGAATGCTAAAGAAAGTTCTGCTCAAAATTATCAAGTAAAGTTGATTCATGATTCTAATACGATTTAAGGTCATCAATAGACAATTAATATTTTCAGTAATTATATTAATAACTTACATAAAAAAATACTATACTCAAATGAGGAAAGGCCTGATCAAAATATGTCATCTATTTATTGTGTGTACTGGTTGGAGTGATTTGATTTTTTGCCGTGGTTCTCAACCTTCTGAATGCTGTGACCCTTCAATACAGTTACTCATGAAGTGGTGACCCCCAATCATGAAGTTATTTTCATTGCAACTTCATAACTGTAATTTTGCTATTGTTATGAATTATAATATAAATATCTGCTATGCAGGATATCTGATATGTGACCCCTATGAAAGAGTCTGTCAACCTCCATGGGAGTTTTGACCCACAGATTGAGAACCACTGATCTACTTGCTACATCAGCCCCCACAGCCCTTCAGATTCCTGTGTGATGGAGACTGTCCAGGTTCATAAGCTGAATTGTGCCAATGGTTCATGGCATGACTCTTGCTGCATCTAGAATTCTCTAATACAATCATAAAAGTGCTGCACTGATGCAAAGATACATTCAATGTGATTTGTGGTGGACATTCTTTTTCCCCTGTACTAGCTCAGCAAGACGGAAATGTGACAAAATGGTATGATGCGTATTTCAACAAAGCGAGGCCATATTTTACAAATGAAGGATTCCCTAATCCCCCATGTATAGAGGGAAAGACAAAGTTCAGTGGTAATGAAGAAATCTACGTGATAGGTGCAGATAATGCCTGTATGATCCCTGGCAATGAAGAGAAAATTTGCAATGGACCTCTGAAACCAAAAAAGCAGTATTTGTAAGTATAGTGTATGTCAATCATGTACTAAACTACAAGTTCATTAATGTATGTCACCTATCTATTAACCTATCCATCCTTCTGGTGAGCAAAGGGATCTCCCATGGATACTGAGGCTGACTATCACGCACTAGAAATGAAGAGCTAGATGCAGCATTATCTATTCATTGTAAAGGCATACAGTATTATAGGAAAGGCATACAATTCTGAAAGTAAGTATGATTTGATATGATAAGTTGTTTAAAGGCAATTTGAAAGGTATGGCAATGGAGAACATGCAATGTGGGAAAAGTTATTTATTTCTGTAATGAACAATATGGTTGATGTGTTGGAACTCAGTGTTTTGCTCTTTGCCATAGACGATGATATACATAGGCCTCCAGAAACAGCCTCATAGTCTTTTAATCAATTAAGATTTCCTTTTATGATGCTAATGCTAATATCTCTTTTATCCGATCAATCATCTGAATGAATGCTTTATTAATTTTTATTGAATTTATTGATATTGTTTTCTATTTAATTACAGATACTATTTTATAAAATAAGGCTACAGTTAAGAAGAGAATTATCTTAGCCTTTATTTTTCCGAAGCTTATTGTTATTACTAATTTTTAAATATGTAGGTATTCATACTTCAGCATGGTAGTTAAAATGATATTAAATTCCTTCTGAATGTTGTTGGCTGAGTTAGAATTAGAAAATTTAGAAAAACTCGGCAATTGAAAAATAATATTGTATCATTTATTATCAAAGGCAATTAGCTTAAATTTTGGTTATTATTTGAACTAAACATTTTTAAAATGCCAGGCGGATCTCTGTGAGTTCGAGGCCAGCCTGGTCTCCACAGCGAGTTCCAGGAAAGGCGCAAAGCTACAGAGAAACCCTGTCTCGAAAAACCAAAAAAAAAAAAAAAAAAAAAAAAAAAAAAAAAAAAAAATTTCATATTTACTCTTATTCATTGTTTCTTTTGCATATTGTTTTGTCAACAATTCTTTTCATGATAGATGTTATCATAAGAGTTTGATAAAATGCTGGAGAATAAATCATACACTGTAACTTGTCTTACAAATTTGTTACGGTTGTGTTTTAGTTTTCAAGTTAGGTAATTTCAGGTGTCTTCAAGGATGATCTTCTGTACTCTTTCTGTTTTATGTTTATAAAAATGGGTAAATACAACTAGGCATATAATGAAAATAGCCATCATTAGTCTTAATTTGTGTACATATGAACAAGACAATTCTATATAATCTTTGTCCTTTGATTCTGCAATATTTCCAAAAATAAGATACAACAGCTACTATGCTTTATATTTGTTAATTACAGTAGTCACATTGTTACTCATATTAAATTATTCCATCTAAACACATCTATGACTTAGATTATCTGCTTAATGTTTTTTGACTACTGAGTTTGGTCAAATTCCTACTCATTTTCCCATGAAATTCAATGAGCCTGAGAGCAAGATAATTATTCATTTAATATAGATTAAAGTATAGACTTTTCCTCGTTGTGACTTAGTCTTAAATTCATGTCTTGTAAATTTATTTTTTCTTGAATAACTATTTTCTTGAATAAACTATTGATTTTCCATAATTATTTGTTAAAATATTTGTGGAAAAGATAATGGGACATAAAAATTGTTTTTCTTTTACAATTTTAGGCCAATATCTTTGATGAACATAGACACAAAAGTTCTCAATAAAATACTTTCAAAATGAGTTCAAGAACACATCAAAAAATTATCCTCCCTGATCAAATTGGGTTCATCCCAGAGATATAGGGATAGTTCAACATAGGTTAATCAATAAACATAATTTATTACATAAATAGATTCAAGAACAGAAACCTCGTTATCATCTCATTAGTCACACAAAAAGACCTTTGACAAAATCAAGCATCCATTCATAATAAAGTCCTAATGAAACTAAAGATACAAGAGATATACTTCAACATTATAAAAGCAATAAATAGGACCCTCAAAGCATTTCCACCAAAACTAGGCATATGACAAGGATGACCACTCGCTCCATTCCTATTCAACATAGTACTTGATGTCTTAGTTAGAGCAATAAGACAAGTGAAGGATATAAAGGGATACAAATTGGAAAAGGAAAAGACCAAGTAGCCTAATTTGCATATAATATGATTTGATCTATGTATGTGACCTTTAATACTCCACTAGAAAACTCCTACAGCTGATAAACACCAGCAAAAACATTATCCAAGTACCAGGATATAAAAATTAGCACACAAAAATCAGCAGCCTTTCTACACAGAAATGACAAACAGGCTCATAAAGAAAGCAGGAAATAATACCATTCACTATTGCCTAAAAGTATCTTAGAATGAATCTCTCTCTTTTTTTTTTAAATAGGTTTAAATTTAGAGCCACAAATGTCATGGGACAATTTACCGACTCTGATTACTCTGACCCTATTAAAACTTTAGGTAAGATTTTATAGTCTAATTTTTCTTTTTCATGTGTATGCGTGTAGCATCTCTGCATGTATGTATATATGCATGTCTGCTTGTGTGTGGGTGCACATGTATATGCAGGTGAGCATGCATTTGTGTCCATGTGCATATAGAGGCTGGAAGGTGATATCGTGTTTCTCTCCATTACTGTCTATTCTATGTATTGTGATAGGGCCTCTTGTTGAATTCAGAGTCTTCAGATTCTGCCTGTTGTAGCCATCCAGTTACTTCCAGGGATCTTGTGTTGGGATTACAGGTCACTACCATGCCCGCTTAAGCTTCTAACACGAACTCTGGGGATCCAAAATCTGGTTCTCATGAATGCAAGTCACAGACTTTATCCACCAATCTGTCCCTTCAGCCTTTATCTATGATCTTAATGTGTTTATATGATGATAGCAGTTATTAAATGTTTGGGAAATACACTAATCTATGGCTGTAGTCTTTGGTACAAATATATTTTAAAGATAATTAAGCTTTTTAAGGAAAAATATTTACAACATTCTTCTAAAAGATAGATGCTTCAACTATTCACATCTGGCTATAAGCTTTATTAAAGTGTTCATTCTTTGATGACATTCTAAATAAGTAGATGTTTGGTTCTTTAAATATATGGTCTCATATGTTAAAAGTCTTCATAAAAGAGAAATCATATGATAATATTTTCCTTTGAAAATTTCTCAAAACTACAAGTTTTTCTTTTCTTTCATGCTACTTTGAATCACATCCACACAAACTGGACCTAACTAACACAGTTCAGTCACGTGAACCCATCTCATTGGCACCATTATGATAATTTTATCCTAACTTAGATGTTCTGAATGAAGCATACCTCCTACCTGACTCGTTTCATGTATTAGCTGTCAAATTCTTCAAAATTATATTTTAATTTGGATCAGTGTTTCTGGATTGGTGTGTTTTTATGTCTCAAGGGAGAATTAATGATGTTTGGAACACCTTTGAGTTGAAATAAGGAAGTTGAAATGGTGGTGGGTGGCGGCACTGTTCCTGCTCATGTATCCATCGCGATTGCTTCTCATGGCATCTGAATTTCCACATCACACAAAGCAGCCCACAATGTCAGTTGTGCCAGGAATGAGAAGCACCGGTTGAAGTGGTACTCTTCACTCCAATTCACACATGAGGAAACCAGTGATCACATTGTTTAAGTCATTAAGTGCTTGGCCAGAATTTCAGCATTTTAGCTCAGGATTCCATTGCTACCATGCTACAAATCAAGGCGTAGGGACCTGGATTTAAATCTTAGCTCTGTGACTTGAAATAATAATATAATTCCTCTAATATGTCTTCTTGTTCAAAATCTGAGAACATATTAAGTTCTTAAGTAAAATAATGTATAAATATTAAAAACGGTAGTTCTTAAATTGTTCAGTGCTTAATGGCTTCTAAAAGTTTAGTTTTTTTAAAAACGTGTGTGAATATTTTGTCTGCATGTATGCATGTGCCCCACATGCATGCCTGGTGCCCAGGGAGGTCAGAAGAGGGTATCAAACTTCATGGAACTGGAGTTGCAGATGCTTGTGAAGCATTACGTGGGTGCTGGGAACCAAACCAGGGTTCACTACAATGAAAAGTGCTTTTGACCACTGAGTCATCTCTCTAGCCCCTAGTAGCTTCTTTTGATGGGTCCTAATCAAAGATTTTAAAGGGATTTTTACTTCATTAACTCCCTAGCATTTCCCTGAAAGGAATCACTAATTTTTAAATAATCGTACCAGGGCTTCAAAACTTATAAGCTACTTAACAAAATACTCCGGTGGGGATATCGCTGGAATATTGCTTGAAAATGTGTGAAGTTTATGCATGGCGCTGATCTTGGTGGTTTATCAGTACATCAGGAGCCACATACAGCACAGTTCAGTGAGAACTGTAGGTGCATAACAGTAGATTGTTCCACTGCTCTGAGTCTGTCTCAGATGTGCAAGTGTAAGCTGGCTAAAGAGTCAGCCTCCATCACTTCTATGTAAAAAAAAAATAAATGCATCCTGAAGAATCAAATCAAGAGATACGCTGCCTACAGGCTTGTTTGAGTAACAGATCTCTCGTGTTAAAGTGTTTGGCTACAACATCATTGTCTTGGTTAATTGTACCCAGTAGGTGTAATAATGAGAAAGCAGGCTGATTGGACTTGTGGTTTTGAAATGGTGTGGAACATCTCTTCATTTGATAGCTGATCTTATCATGCCCTGATATTACCACAGCACACTGTGTGCACTGTGGTCAGCAAACCAATCAGAGTTTGGCAGCAACTCCTGCAGCTAAATAATGATTGTTCTGGTGCATTTACTGATGGAAGATAGAAGGCAGACAAGATGCAGAACTCTAGTACCTTCTCTATAAAGAAGAGATGGGGGAGCTAGGTTTGTTGTCTGGGTGTCACGTGCTTGTTACTAAATGGGTGGTTTTGTGTAGACGAACAGTGGAAGCCAGGCTCAGTCATTTGTGTGGGAGAGAAAAGACATTAGGGTGTTATGGAGGAGAGCTGCCTTAGAAAGGGGGATAATAAAAAATCAGGAACCATGCAGTCTGAGGACATGGTTACTTACACTTTTCCAAAAGGCGTAATATAGAACACAGTCTTAAGCCACTTGTCAACGATGGCTTCCTCTTCATTCTCTGTACTTGCAACCAAGGGAAGGGGCTAAACAAACACACATTTCAGAAACACATACTGATTGTGTTTGGAAACGTAACAGCTACCACCAAAGCATCCAGACACGAATTCCCACACACCCTATAAATGGAGGGGGGCTTTTAGCATGTGACTGATGTGTAATGAAGGAGGAAGCTCAGGCTCTCAGAGAGGCCACAAAAGAAAGGACCAGTGGGACATAGACTGGACATAGCCAACTGAGTGCCAGTGGGCTGGTAGTGACCAAGAAGGGTCCCATGTATGTATTATCGAATTCCTCAAAGTTCAGTGTAATCTTCATATTTCAGCGATGTAAGGAAAGCCTTTCGGACTCTCTCTTAGACTGACCTTTCAGGGACTCCCTCCTGATGGATAGTGGTTCTGTAATTGGCTTTTGCCCTGTAATGTTCAAATGGCTCTTAAGATAGTGACAGATGAGAGGGGAGGACATTAACAGAGGCCATGAAATAGAAAAAGCGCTTTTGGCAGAGGAGCGCTGCCCAGAAGATAAAGCAGAAGAACTCAAGAAGGAAATAATATTGACTGCTTCAGTAATGAGAAAAGGCCCGCAGATGGAATGGGTCGCTGTGCACCTGCGGGCAAGCAAAGGGGCATGTATTTGCAGGAATACCTCTGTGTAACCAGATGATGGCAAAGGAAGCCTGAGTCATTTTCTGTCCCAGTTATGCCACGTGTCATCATCTACATCATTTACAGCCAACCAGTGGAACCCAGGGCTGCTGACAAGCCCGTTAAGGCACATGCATGAATGTAATCCCAGACGTTAGCGGAGGGAGTATAGGTCCCATCAAGGTTATCCAATCACAGGCAGATAAGCCTTCCTTTAGTAATATCTGCATACCATTGGCAACAAGCACTGAACTGAGTAGCCTATGAATTAAAATTTCAATACTTGAGAGATTTACCAAGGCTGTGTTTCGGGAGATCGTGCCATCAGGAATTGTCCCTCTCATAGGGGTTAGCAAATAGGATTGAAAATAGGGCCCCCCCCCAAAAAAAAAATCATCACATACCAACTAACTAAAAGGGTTAAAGCTGAGTGAAAATCTTGCATTGAGAATAATCTTTGTGGCACAGTAGTAAATGGGAAATGATATACACCTTAATTATACTTAGTTGATTTTGTTTTAACTTTAGATTGAACATTTAGCATCCTCATTTTCATCATTTGTATGAACTCTCTCCAGCTTTTTAAATCTTCCCAAGGCATGTGAGTTTGTGGAGACCACATGTAGGCAATGTGCTGTTTGTAAGATTTCAGAGGAGAAGTTTTCTGGGACTTGAAAACCAGACATCCCTTTCAGGACCTTGCAGGGTCCTTGTGAAAGCAGAGCAAGATGAGGTCCTAAAGCCCAAGACAAAGGGACTCTGATGGCATTCTGTTGTCATAACATTTCTCATTTAAAATTGTGCAAAAAATTTGTCCCAATGTATTCAAGCTGAGGAAGAAGCGGTAAAGAGAAGGAGGGAGATCAGACACACACACACACACACACACACACACACACACACACACACACACAAAAACACACACACACACACACACAAAAACACACACACACACAGAGAGAGAGAGAGAGAGAGAGAGAGAGAGAGAGAGAGAGAGAGAGAGAGAGAGAGAGAGTTACTATCTCATCTGCAGCAATGATCACATCTTCCAAGGTAGTAGAGAAGCAGGTGTATTTAATATGCTTTTAGTATGCGTTGAATTTAGATACCTCAAGACAGCTACGCAAATGCTTAAAGTATTTAACTTCTGAAATCCTATTTCTACAATGGCAATACTAATACCTACTTTGTAAGTCAGCTGAGAGATTTGTTCAGATTAGGGGATGAATGTGTGACTATGAAATGATTACTAACAAAGACACCTGACATTGTTGTATAAATTCAAAACTGGGAAGTAGCTTTAGAAATAAGACCCTCTGTCCACTCTTAACTCTGGACCATGCATTCCTACAGATAATAGGATATCATAAGCAAGAAACCTGAAGCACTGTGTTGTAACCTAGCAAAGGAGTAGTTGGCACATCAGTTTTCAGATCCAGGCAGTTTGATTGATCAGTGTTGTGCTACTAACTACTGCAAGACACTATGGGAAGGGGGAAACAAAACAAAATAAAACATACAAACAACACTATGTTCTGAAGCTGCTTTCAGTTTCACTGTGGATGGATGCCTCAGCTTGCTGTACTGTGCCCCTTTCTCATCTCAGCATTTTAAATTATTTCTAGCTGTTCTCACGTCTTACCATCTTGTCTTGTCTTTTAAGGTTACCATTTCATATATAAGCACGTTCTGGATGGGTGTTTTGTTTTCTTGGTTTGTGAACAAAGATTTGGTGATAGCTTTTAATTTTTTTTTTAACCAATGAATACATGACTTTTTCTCACACTCTGGTGAGCATTGTTTATCTCCTTTTAAAATTTTGTCAGTCTGACTGGAGGATGTTCTTGTGGAACATTTTAGGGTATACTTATTTTCAAAGGAATTGGTTGACCCTTAGAACAGTACCTATTTTGAGCTTTACAATGATGCCATGGTATATGTACATAATGTAGAATACTGAATCATGCTAATTAATGCACGCATCACCTCAAATCCTTATCAGGCTTCTCTTCTATAGAACTATATTTCTAAAATATTGACATTAATGTTGGCAAGATAGCTTACTGTGCCAGCCTGACTACCTGAGTGTGATGTACAAGCCACAGTAGGGTCAATTCCCAGAAATTGTTCTCATACTTCTCCTGGCTGGCCTTGGCATGCTCATGCCTAAACACACACACACACACACACACACACACACACACACACAAAAAAAAAAAAAAATACTTTAAAAAATATGGAATCATAAAATTAACTTTAGTTATTCTTCATGTTGTTTTTTAATATCCCAAAAGACTAGTAATTTAATAAAAGGACAGTCTCCCCATATATTAACTCTAAGAGCATATACAGAGAATGGAGAAACTACAATGAGGAGACCAATATTGTAGTATGAGATTAATACCTCTCATTTAACTCAATTTAAATTTCTCATTTTAAAATGTTAGATCCCTCTGCTAAATTTAAGTAATCATAATTCCAGTCAGAAAATAATAGTTATGAAAAATCTGTGCTTTTTAATTATAAATTGCTAAATTACAGTGCTAGAATATATTATTCAAACAAAATAATTTAATTAACGGAGGCTAAATCTAGTGAGGAAATGGCTTGTGTATATTATGAAGAAAGTCACACAAAAGAATTCCACTTTGTATGACAGGATTTGGAGAAATGATCTCATTCATGCACAGCAGTGAATCAGAAAGTGTGTCCGACAATCACGGTACATTGTGTCCCCTCCTGAGGGCACTTTTGTAATACATGTGCTCAGAGGATTACATGCTGCTTATTAATATATTATATGTCATTTCCTCACTTGGTCCAGTGCTTTGAAATGGTAATCTAGTCTGAAATTTCATTTTGTGGTCTCTGAAAACCGAGTCTTAAGGCTCTGCGTCCCATCACCTGATCAACAAGACTCCTTATTCATCTTCGGGTTTCCTTTGGCAGGAATATCTGATTAGATGTAGCATGTAAAAAAATTCATGAAACAAAGCACTGGGATTTTATTAAGTAAGAAGGTGTAGCTAATATCATAGGAAATACTTGGTCTTATAGCATCCTTTAAATGGAGCTTGATATACTAGGGGACCATGAAACCCTGATGTTTAACACTCAGTTTTCATTCAACTCTACCATTCAGATCAATAGCTACAGGAACTTGGGTAGCATTTTATAATCACCGATCTAGAGGAAAAAGATAAAACATGAATCTTTGCTTATTTACAGACCTTGAACTTATTTTCTCATTGAACTGAAACATTTTTATAGTAAAATTATAAATCACATCAATTAAAATTTCTCCAAATACAGTATATGAGTGTAAAGACTCTCCCACATGAGTTAGAGAGACGTATGTATTTATTCTATAACAAGTCATTGAGATATGATTGAGCAATCCCCTTCAAGAAATGAGATGACCAGGGGCTGTGGAGAAGGTTAAACGGTTTTTAAAAAGTCTGCTATATTGTAGAGGAGAAGAGTTAGGTACCCAGCACCTACAACAGGCTGCTTACAATGCATGTAATTCCATCCCAACGATACTTGGAACTTATTTTATTCTTTATTCTCTCACATTAAATTGATGACATTTCTAAGAGACTGTGATTTCACTTAGTAAGAAGCACATGCGTGACTACATGTGTATATAGTCACATATATATCAAATATATGATATTAAAGATTTATATTAAACTACCAATGGGCAGTAAAGTACCAAAGAAAGAGAGTCAAATGTGACATTAAGGTTTCTTTTTGACCAGAGCAATTAGAGTAATGGAGTTTTCTTTAACTGAGAATAGAATTCAGTTAAAAAGAGAAAATACCATATTTCGGACATACTGTCTATGAAATTATAACCATAAGTCCCAATAAAAATATATGGTAGGTAAATAGAAGGCCCGAGTTTATTAGTAAAAATATTAAGCAATTATCATATAGATGGAATTATAAAACCACGAGGCTGTGTAAGCTCACGGAGGAATAAAGTTTGTAAAGGTAAGGAAAAAATTTAAGGACTGAACCTCCAAATTAAAAGGAAGAAGAGGAAGGGGAGAAGGAGGAAGAAGAGAGGATGAAGCAGCAAATTAAATTTGTTTTGATGGTATTCTTTTGTTTTGTTTTACGAGACAGGGTTTCTCTGTGTAGCTTTGCACCTTTTCCTGGAACTCACTTGGAAGCCCAGGCTGGCCTCGAACTCACAGAGATCCGCCTGGCTCTGCCTCCCGAGTGCTGGGATTAAAGGCGTGCGCCACCACCGCCCGGCATTGATGGTGTTCTTAAGTAATATGCCAAGAAATAGTCTATGTGGTCATGATAGAACTCCAGGGTAGCATTAATGATCATGTTTCTGTCTTTCTTAGGTGAAGGGCTTTCAGAAAGAACCGTAGAGATCATCCTGTCAGTCACTTTGTGTATCCTTTCAATAATACTCCTTGGAACAGCTATTTTTGCCTTTGCAAGGTAAGATGTGTCCCAGAACGCTCTGTGGGCATTATATATATCATGGTCCAGTCAAGAAACAATAACCGCAGCAGTTAAGCAAATGGGAAACACTTATGCTTAATTTTTCTTAAATTTATAAAGTACCCAACCTGCCTGGAATATATATATTATGATGTTTTTAAGTATATAAAACAATATGAATTGAACAAAACTAGCCTTAAAGAAGTAAGTTCTGCTATTTTGATAGAAAATGTTTGATGTAAATACTAGAGAGAAAGTGAGGAAAAGAAAACTAAAAGGGACCCAGAGCTGAGAGAAAGTCCTCATGTGGGCCGCTGGGCCCCCACATGGCACATTAAAATTCCAGTACCAGTCGGATATATGGTGCATGCCTTTAATCCGAGCACTTGGAAGGCAGAGTCGAGTGGATCTCTGTTTGTTCCAGGCCATGTAGTGAATTCCAGGTCAGCCAGGGCTGAAACATGAGACCCTTTCTCAAAAATAAAATAAAATAAAATAAAATGAAATAAAGTATTCAGTACCAGAGCCAGAAAGACAGCAATTCCCTGGCCCCTTTGCCTGGTCACGTTACTGTAGTGTCCCTCTGGACAAAGTTTAGCATTCTGACAGGTGACAAAGGAGAAATGCAATCAAGGCTCATTTAATTATCACAGAAGACAAATGAAAGTCAATGTATGTAGAGTTTTCCATCTAGACCACCAATCAGCTCTGTCCCGCCAGCTGCTCCCCAAATAAACACACAGAGATTTATTATTACTTATAAATGCTTGGCTGATGATAGCTTAGGCTTGTGTCCAGCCAGCTCTTATAACTTAAATTAATCCATTTTTATTAATCTATATGCTACCCCAAGGCTCATTTACCTCATATATGAACTTCCCATGTTATTTCATATACCTCTGCCTCGAAACTCCTCCGACTCTACCCTCCTTCTTCCTAGTGTTCTCTCTGTCCTGAACATCCTGCCTAGATATCAGCCAATCAGCTTTTTGTTAACAATGAGAGCAACACATCTTCATAGTGTATGGAAGGATTATTCCACAGAAGAGACAACTTTAAAGACATCACTTCCTAGTGGGTTTTTCACATGATCGTTCCTTCTCATAATCATCATGCATGTACTTGTTTTTCAAGTCTCTCTTCCCATTCTCAGTCTCAGCCCTCTCATTTTTTTATACAACCTCAGGGGAAATTTCTCTCTCCAATCCCCTGATATGGAGGTTTGTCAGAGAAATTGCTAAAATAATTTTTTTTATTCATGAAAATAACTATCCTACTAGTTTTCTGAATAGCTCTATGGGCTTAATTTTTAACCAAAACTTGCCTGGGTAGTTTGGATTCCACCTGCCATCTTTTTCATTTTGAGTCTCTCAAGTCAGCATTTAAGTATATGATTTGAAAGTGTCTATTAAAAGACATCTTACCTGTAACACAGACTGTTAGCAGATTCTGATAACAAGAAAAAGTCATTATTCTAGTCAACTAGGAAAAATTTATATTTTAGTAAGAGTTTTGGCACATTATCAAAATGCCTTGACATGAAGGAAGACTCTCAGACCACAAGAAAATGAAGAAAAAAGATTGTGCAAGTTATAGGCCTTGCTAATAAGAAGTACTCATCTTCAGTGTTGAAAGGATTTGTTGGCACCAAAATTGCATTTGATCTTCCATTTTCTGGCAAGATAAACCATTGAATGGGCAGGAAGGATTCTCCTATTCAATACAGCCTCCCAGGATCTTCTTTTGGCCAAAGGGAATGTGTTCTTGTGTGAATATCAAGAGTTACGATTTCTGAAAACTCCCTTTTAGTTCAGTTCATCTTAAATGTTCTCTTTCCCACCTCTGGCTCCAGAGCACCTAAGTCAAACTGGACTTCTCTATGTCCTCCAAATACTAATAATTGAAATCACTCAAAATACTTTATCAATGAGTCAAGTACTGCCTCTTGAGTTTAGTTTCAATATTTTTCTTTGATTTTTATACATTTTGAATACACTGATCAAATATATAATGTCTTTGAGGATGGGGCTACATTTTATGTTTTTGTTTGTTTGTTTGTTTTTTCAAGACAGGGTTTCTTTGTGTAGTTTTGGTGCCTGTCCTGGATCTCCCTCTGTAGACCAGGCTGGCCTTGAACTCACAGAGATCCACCTGGCTCTGCCTCTTGAGTGCTGGGATTAAAGGCATGCACCACCACTGCCCGGTCATTTTATGTTCCTGATATTATCCTAGATATCAGTATTTATCATAGACAACACATGTGAAATATCAATGACTGACACAGATCAAAATAGTGTCTTGTAATATATCATACCATACCTTAAACAAATGAGTAGATAAAGGCCTGAAATTAAAAAGACAGGGCTGGTGGGAGCGCATTCCTTTAGTCTCAGCACTCTTGAGGCAGAGACAGGAAGATTTTATGAGTTCAAGGCCAGCCAGATTTAAATAGTTTCAAACTAGTCAGAACTATAAAATACAATAAAACTCTGTCTATAAAAACAAACAAACAAACAAACAAAAATCCCAATGATTTGGTTAGGTTTTCCAGGTCATATTACCCAATTTTGAACCTAAAACCTGAGTTTTCTGATTATAAAATAGAGATAATATTTTATACCTCATATATCCATAAAAATTAAATGAGACAATTTAAAAACCAATTTATATATTTGATACATGTAAAATGTTCCATTATAAGAAACAATGACCCACTGATTTTTAACACCGATATTCAGAGTCCTTAGTTATTTCCATTTCATTTTCCTTTGGTGATTAAAAAAAAAAAGGAGCAGCTAAAGTAAGGAAGGGTAGTTCACATGGAACAAAAGAATTATTTGTCTAAATGATTTTGCTTTAAAAAAAAAAGAAAACTCTCCACCTGATCTGCCACGCTTTCCATGACCGTACACCGATTGCCTTGCCCTTGTTTCAGAATTAGACAGAAGCAGAAAGAAGGTGGTACGTACTCTCCTCGGGAGGCAGAGATTATTGATACTAAATTCAAGCTGGACCAGCTCATCACGGTGGCAGACTTGGAACTGAAGGACGAGAGATTAACGCGGTGAGCACACTCCTCTGGGCAAGCGGAGGTACAGAGGGCCCGGAGCCATGACCCTCCTCTGACCTATGCTTGTTGGAAGTGTTTGTGGGGCTCCAGTTTACACGGGTCACAGAGATCTTCTTTCAAAGGGTAACCTCTGTCTTCTACACACTGCTGCACAGAGACTCAGTGAATCTACCTAATATTTTGAGTTCAGTATGAATCTCGGACTATGGTACTCAAACAAGACATTTTCCCTGAGATGAAATATTTTTATGCATTAAATATTTAACATTTTGTTTCATAATTCTTCTCATATAGTAGATTTTCTAACTTGGATTTTTCTAGAAATGTCCACAAATATTTATCTTAAGTTTAATTTAATCATGCTCATAAAAGCTTGCTGTTGTTATGCCATTTATTACCATTTATGAAAAGCTCTGCTCATAGTTCCTTATTTCAGCATAAAATTACATGAAGGTCTATAGTGTATATGGCATTTATATTTATAAACTTACTTAGAATTTAGAAACCAATGCAAAATAAAAGCATATTGACTTAGAAAGAGAAATATCAATGTGTGTACTGAATGAGTGACATCATTGTAGCAAACTATATAACATTTAAAAAAATAAGTTTAAATCTTTTCAAAAGCATTTACTCTGTTTATAATATTAGCACAATTAAAAACTTGTAACAATATAATCTCCCAAATACTTAATAAAAGCTGTCATGAGATTTTCTTTTTTTTTTCCTTTTTTTTCCTTTTTTTAAAATTTTTTTATTTTTTTAATTTATTTTAATTTATTTTGCAATACAATTCAGTTCTACATATCAGCCACGGATTCCCTTGTTCTCCCCCCTCCCGTCCCCCTCACCTTCCCCCCAACCCCCCTCCATTCCCATCTCCTCCAGGGCAAAGCCTTCCCCACAGACTGAGGTCAACCTGGTAGACTCAGTCCAGGTAGGTCTAGTCCCCTCCTCCCAGGCCGAGCCAAACAATCCTGCATAGGCCCCAGGTTTCAAACAGCCAACTCATGCAATGAGCACAAGATCTGGTCCCACTGCCTGGATGCCTCCCAAACAGATCAAGCCAATCAACTGTCTCACCCATTCGGAGGGCCTGATCCAGTGGGGACCCCTCAGCCATTGGTTCATAGTTCATGTGTTTCCATTCATTTGGCTATTTGTCCCTGTGCTTTATCCAACCTTGGTCTCAACAATTTTCGCTCATATAAACCCTCCTCATTCTCGCTAATTGGACTCCCAGAGACCCACCCGGGGCCTAGTCATGGATCTCTGCATCCAGATCCCTCAGTAGTTGGATGAGGTTTCTAGCACAACAATTAGGGTGTTTGGCCATCCCATCACCAGAGTAGGTCAGTTCGGGCTGTCTCTCGACCATTGCCAGCAGTCTGTTGTGTGGGTATCTTTGTGGATTTCTGTGGGCCTCTCTAGCACTTTGCTTCTTCCTATTCTCATGTGGTCTTCATTTACCATGGTCTCCTATTCCTTGTTCTCCCTCTCTGTTGTTGATCCAGCTGGGATCTCCCGCTCCCCCAAGCTCTCTTTCCCTCAACCCTCGCCTTTCATTACCCCCACTCATGTCCAGGCTGTTCATGTAGATCTCATTCCATTTCTCTGTCATTGGGCGATCCCTGTGTCTTTCTTGGGGTCCTGTTTTCCAGGTAGCCTCCCTGGTGATGTGAGTAGCAGACAAGTCATCCTTGTTTCATGTCTAGTATCCTGCTATGAGTGAGTACATACCATGTTTGTCTTTCTGAGTCTGGGTTACCTCACTCAGGATGATTTTTTCTAGATCCATCCATTTGTCTGCAAACCTCATGATGCCATTGTTTTTCTCTGCTGAGTAGTATTCCATTGTGTATATGTACCACATTTTGTTTATCCATTCTTCAGTTGAAGGGCATCTGGGTTGTTTCCATGTTCTGGCTATTACAAACAATGCTGATATGAATATAGCTTAACAAGTGCTCTTATAGTGTGGTTGAGCATTTCTTGGGTATATGCCCAAGAGTGGTATAGCTGGATCTTGGGGGAGATTGATTCCCAATTTTCTAAGAAAGCGCCATATTGATTTCCAAAGTGGTTGTACAAGCTTGCATTCCCACCAGCAGTGGAGGAGAGTTCCCCTAGCTCCACATCCTCTCCAGCATAAGGTGTCTTCAGTGTTTTTGATCTTAGCCATTCTGACAGGGGTAAGGTGGTATCTCAGAGTTGTTTTGATTTGCATTTCCCTGATGATTAGGGATGTTGAGCAATTCCTTAAATGTCTTTCGGCCATTTGAGTTTCCTCTGTTGAGAATTCTCTGTTTAGTTCTATAGCCCATTTCTTAATTGGACTGTTGGGCATTTTGATGTCTAATTTCTTGAATTCCTTATATATTCTGGATATCAGTCCTCTGTCAGATGTGGGGTTGGTGAAGATCTTTTCCCATTCTGTAGGCTGTCGCTTTGCCTTGTTGACCGTATCCTTTCAATCAATGGGACCTCTTGAAAATGAGATTTTCTTTAATTTACGCTTTCATGAGCTCCAATAACATGTAGTTCTTATTAAGCACATGACTATTCCAAGGCATTGGCAAAGCCCTCTTGACATTTTAAAAGTTATAATTAATTTTTACAAGGTGGCATTAAAATATTGAGCATCAAAAGTAATGTGTGGATACTACCTATCAAACTTGATCTTCATTTAATAGATCAGCTTCATAAGCATGTTGTTCTCACGTCTAGAAGATGTGCTGCCTAGGGAGGTCTTCCCAAACCCTAGGAAATGAGAGTTATTCAGTATCACTACATTGTAAGGATACTTGGTTTGTGGGATAACCTTTTAACTTTTACATATTGATAATTATTTATATTCTATTACAATCAAAAGAGGCACTGTAAAGGATTGTGTGTAGAACTGTATATTACCTAGTACATAGTCAGTTTGTCTTTATATAAGAAAACTATATGTAAGAGAACAATAGATTCCCAACATAGCCTCCACAGTAAAACATATTACCGAATTCTAGAGCATCATCAGCTCCAGCTCATCTCCTAATCCTCTAGGGTCATGATCTGCAGTAGAAATGTCTTCTCTTCCCTGGACCAACTGAACTTCAGCACTCCTTTCTTTTTGCACTCTTTTCTCAATCCCTGGGTCTCCTCCACAGGGGCAGGCTGGCCACAGTCCTTCTAAATGTGTATAAGGGAATAACCTCAAGTTTCTCAGTGAGATTAATTTGAGCTACTTGAAAAATATAGTGGAATCTTGCCATCCTGATGTGAATTACAGGAAGGTCACAACAATTCTTTATGACCATTTTTGTTTTGTCTTGAAGTGTCTTTATTGAACCCAGTAGAAATCCACAGTAAGCAGATCTCGAGAAGTTCAATACAGTAAAGTGTGTGTGTGTGGAGGGGGGCAGTTAACATGAGAAAAAGCATCCATTGAGGTCACTTTTCCTGACAGCGAACATCAGTGCTGGGGTGGCTTTTCTAAATGTGGTATGTTTTCAGAGCATAACCATTCTCTACTTCTTACCATTCAACAACACAGCTAGGAAACTGTGTGGTTTTCTTTTTGACTTTTTATTCTGGTAATGACTGTCTTGGCAGTTACAGAGAGGTTTCGAGTCATAGAAATGTAGGCCAGGTCTCTACCAGTTCTTTATTAGTGGGCATTTATAATTCAAGGGCTTTGGCTCTTTATTGACTTTCCTGCTTCGTGTTATTTTATCTATATATCACGATATTTGTTAAAACCTAAAAGAGCAAAAGAATATTTTAATTCTGCATCACAGAAAATTATTATTCGAATAGTAATGAAATTGAAACTTTAATTTCCATTATTTTTGCTTTACCATTTGCGTGTAGAACCACAGAGTTTACGTTATAAAATCTCTATGGATCGACTGAACTTCTGTAGTTAACGTTCTCTCTTTCCTTCTCTACTCTTTTTTCCATTGTTGCATGTCCTTCACAGAGCTGGGTCCCATCCATTCTGAAACAATACAAAAAAAGAATTATATGTACCAATGACCCATAATAAATATTATCTGCTGGATTTAGTACAGAAAATTATTAAAGTTTTCATGCTAGTAAAGTCACTGAGAGGTAAGACAAGTTTTAAAAAAAAATAATGACTGAAAATTAGTGCATTAGGCACATTTGCATGGGAGCTGGTCATCAGTGGACTGCTGAAAACCTTGGCAGTCTTTGAGGTGCTTCACAATATAAGTATGTTCTAAGTCAGAAATAAAAGTTTAATTCCGGAAATGAAGAGTCAAGGAGTTCAGGTTTTCTCCCTAAACGGCGAGGTACCTTATGCCAAATGCCAACTATCTGCAAGAAGGAGCACAGAGTCCTTGAAATCTATCAGTTTGCACGTGTTTTCTACCCAGGTCATGGGTGCACTCTCCCAAACTGCCAGCGTTTTCTTGTTTAAGTGAGCTTGCATCTATCCTCAGTGCTGTATCTCTTCACCTGTCCAAGCGAAAGCACTCGTCAGTAAGGACAGTATTAATTTTAAGGAGTTATGTGGTTGATATAAACAAAGTCAAGATGCTTAGTAGTGCATCATGCTGAAGACTTGAGGGTTTATATTATGAAATTATTTAACGTGTATGCATTCTACCATGTGCTTATATTTTAAAACTTGTCATATTATATAAATGTTTATTATTTAATTATATTCCACTCTGTGTCACAAAGAGTTTAAGGATCCATTCTCCACATTATACTCTTTTCTCCCCAAAGAAGTTAAAAAAAAATTAATACCCACTAAATCTATGAGAACTTTAAGAGATGTGCTAAGAAAATGTTTTATATCCTTAGTCAGAATTCAAGGCCAGATTGTACAACTTACTAAAATCCTGTCTCAAAACAATACAAAACCAAACCAAACCAACCAACCAAACAACAACAAAATAAAAAGGAAAGAAAGAAAGGGAAAAGAAAAGAAAAGAAAAAATCCTGGGCAAATAACTAAGTCAAATGGGACTTATCTACCTATC